TCTTTACATTCAAATGTTCACAGGAACTATCTCTGAGTTGTACAAGTATAGTAGAAATTAAGAAGATAGTTTTCTACTCTTCTTTATTTACCAAGATTTATGTAAATGAAAACTACTGCTTTTAAAATTTAAAAAACAAATGAGAAACAAGGTTTATTAAAAAAAAGAAAACTTCCTTATTTTACATTCTTGTCTGCTGACTGCTGGTTCAGCCATTCAATGATTTTGATACTTCCCTTTTGTGACTAGTTTTGTCCTATTCTAAGCCTAACAAAAATTTTAGTTATGAAATCTCACTGTCTTTGCTCTTCCCTCTCACCCTCCTTCCCATTCCAATGATGTGGACCTCCTTACCATATCTTCATCTATAATATTGAGACCATATTTCCTAGCATCTATTAAAAAAAATTCATTCTCCAAATCAAACCAAAACAATTCAGTTAACACACTTCTAATGATGCAATTTGAAAACTGTGCAAACAATGTAATTAGTGGAGTCCTCTCAACAGCATTACAAAAAGAAACAACTACTTATTCTCAGAAAGATACTAGCAGGATCAGCTTTTAGCTATAGAGCTATCCCCAGGGGTTACTCCAATAGTTAAAAAAATTCTATCTTTGTGGTTCACTTAATACTTGTTAATAACAGTTTAACATCACCCAAAGGGACAGATGATATGATTCAGTGAGCCCACATCTATGTTAGACCTTGATATATAAAATATAATTTCTCACAGCGAACCAAAAAATAAGTCCTATAATTATGACTTGCCTACAGTGTCACATATATTTTTGTTTTAAAATTATGAAAGTCTGTGAACACATCCCACAACAAAAGCAAGATGGGATATTTAAAAGTTGATTTGTTTATCAAAAATTTTGGAATAAAAGAAAGAAAGATACCCAAATAAGTCTCTGTATTTTAAATTTTCCAGTAAAGTAAATCTACTTTTAACAGTAAAACAAAATAAACTTGAATTTCATGCATTCAATTTGCCATGGAGCTAGATGCTAAAGATAAAGTCTAGTTCTAAAGGATTTCAGGGTTTAGTGGGAAAGTAACAAACAAATTGTTATAATAAATTATAATAACATTATGAATATACACAAAGTATTGTGGAAAGCACATAAAGGCCAGAAAGCCTTCTATTTTGGGCTAATTGGCCTATGAGCTAAGTCTTAAAAGATGCAAAGGAATAAGCATAGAATACCTGGCTTCAGAAAGTGAAATGAGACTACTTAACAATAGGAGAAAGAGAGGAGATGAAGAGAAATGAAAACAGTATATGTTTTATTTGCACTCAAAAAATTGCTATTTATAAGTAAGCTGCATAGCTGATGATATGGTTTGGACCTAAAATGTCCCTCAAAGGATCATGTATTGAAGGCTTAGTCCCAATGCAGCAATGTTGAGAAGTGGGGCTTTTGAGAAGTGATTGGATCATAAAGACTCCAACTTTATCAATGGATTAATCCAACTGATGGTCAAAATTGAGTGGGATATTGAGAGGTGGTGGAAACTGCAGGAGGAGAAACCTATTAAAGTAAGTGGATTTTTGAGGGGCATGCCCTTGTGGACAGTATCTTATACCCGTGGTGCTCCTCCCCCTGCTTCCTGACTGCCATGAAGTAAGCAGCTTCTCTCCGCCATCTTTCCACCATGAGATACTGCCTCACCAAAGGCCCAGAAACAGCGCAGCCAGTAGACCACGGACTGAAATCTCTTAAATCACAAGCCAAAATAAATCTTTCCTCCTTTGTTTTCTCAGGTATTTTCACAGTGATGAAAAGCTGATTAACAGAGCTAACAAATTTTGGAGACCTAACACAAATGAGTAAGCTAAATAAGCCACCTCCTAAGGTTATAAATGGGTACAGATCAAGTTCTGTGTTTAAAATTTGCCATGCTTTTGGATACAGACATGTACTGCATAACAACATTCTGGGTTGATGAATTACATATAGAATGGTGGTCCCATAAAATTATAATGAATGTGAAATATTACTATCACCTTGTGATATCATAGCTGTCTTATCATATTGCATTCACAAGTTCATGGTTATGCTGGGGTAAACAAACCTCCTGCACTTCCAGTCATACAAAAGTGTAGCATATACTATTATGTATAATATATAATACTTGATAATGTAATAAATGACTGTGATACTGGTTTATGCTTTTACCATGCTATAAATGTTATCTACAGTGTATTCCTACTTACATGAATAAAATTTAACTATAAAAAACAGCCTCAGACATGTCTTTCAGGAGGTATTCCTGAAAAGGGCATTGTTACCATAGGAGACAACAGCTCCATGTGTGAAACTGCCCCTGGAGACTTCTAGGAGGGACAACATATGGAGGTAGAAGATAATGATACTGATTATCCTGACCCTGTGTAGGCCTAGGCTAATTTGGGTGTTTGTATCTCAGTTTTTAACTAAAAATTAAATAGGAGAACAAAAAAATTTTAGGAAAAAAACTTAATAGAATGAGGATATAAAGAAAAAACATATTTTTTGCATAGCTATACAAGTGTTTGTGTTTTAAGCTAACTATTATCTTATTTGCCTATATTATTCAGTATTGTAACATGCTATCCAGGTTTATAGCACAGGAACAACAGGTGGAATACAGCCTAGGCTAAAAGAGCCAAAAAGTTTAATTTTTTTTAAAGTTTATAGAGTAAAATGTTACTATAAGCTAAGGTTATTTATTATTGAAGAGAAAAAACTTTTTTTATAAATATATTTTAACCTAAGAGTACAATGTTTATAAAGCATATAGCAATATACAGTAATGTTCTAGGCCTTCATATTCATCACCACTGACTCACCCAGAGCAATTTTTAGTCCTGCAAGTTCCATTCATGGTTTTTGCCCTATACAGGGGCATTATTATTATTATTATTATTATTATTATTCTGGGGATTGAATCTAGGGCCTTGTGCATGTGAGGCAAGCACTCTACCAACTGAGCTATATCCCCAGCCCCAGGTGCATTATTTTTATACTGTTTTTACTGTATCTTTTCTATGTTTGTTTAGATACACATACTATTCTGTTATAATTGCCTACAGTATTCAGTATTGTAACATGCTATCCAGGGTTATAGCACAGGAACAACAGATGGAATACAGCCTAGGTCTGTAGTACCATCTATGTTTGTATTGTGTATGATATTCACACAACAATGAAATTGCCTAAAAATTCCTCAAACACATCCCCCTCGTTAAGCAACTTATGACTGCATACAGCATCCAAGCTACAGATTAGCAACAAGGGTAACAAAAAAAAAAATCACTAAAATCTCAGAAATAATTTTAACAGAAATTGTATAATTGTAGCTGCTGAAACCTAACTTTTTTCTTCTTAATGTACAATCAAAATGAAATTAAAAGAAAAAAAAAACTCACCTAAATCCAAGGATACCTGTATTAGCCATAACATAAGCTAAGCCAAGGATGCCACTTCCCATGATGGCATTCATCAAATTAAAGACTGAGAAACCAAAGGAAACTCCTGGGGATACCTGTCTTTGAAGTTCCTGTAAGCACAGAAATTTAATAGTGTTAAATATCTGGAGAGTGAAGTTCAAATTTTGCCCAGTAAATCACTGAGAGGTTATGAAGATCATTTCCCACAAACAAGAAGGCTTTGCAGGACATGCTAGTTGCTTAATCAGAACAGGTTTTCTTTTGTTTCCTTCTTACCTCCTAGAGCTATAGCTTCAGGAATCTGGTTTCCTAGGAAAATCATCTCTCCCAGTACAGAGGCCAGGTAGGCTTCAGGAAGAGACATGACTAATCTTGTGACTACAAGATAGGAATGGGATGGGGACTGAGAGGAGGAACATGGACTCAGCTCATGTGATTCCTTAAGAAACCCTGAGTCAGCTTGTGGAAGTGCTGTCCACAACTGTTCTTCCTATTACTAAGGCTGCAAAATCAAATCTTTATTTTTATACTTATTTAGTTCTCCCAATTGGAACAATGGTTAGGAATACCTTGCAGTGGCAATATAATAAATAGAAACAATTCAAGATTCTTTGGCAAGTATATCCCTGAGAATACCATGTCCCCAAATAGCAGTTGGGAGCAAAACTCTCCAAGAATTTCAGTTAAAAAGCGGAGGTGCAGGCTGTGAACACAGCTCAGTGGTAGAACACATGCCATAAGACCATGAGTCAATATATTTAGCACCGCAAAAATAACTAAATAAAAAAAGGGAAATGTTATGTGTGCTTATTACCAGGCAACCTCCATTCCTTCACCACTACAGATATCTCTATTGAGATGTTCATAGCCCTCCAATAACTAAATCAAGAAAAGAAACATCTCGTTACTCTTGCAAAGACCTCACAAAACTGGTGGAGGACACTGGAAGGCGACAAGGACACTAACAAACAGCGATGGTGGCTCAATCCCGTCGGGTGCCCAACCTCTCTCCACTCAGTGCTGCATGTCTTCCACCTGAGCCGGTACAGAAAGAAAACTTAAACTTTTCTCCCTAGAATGTGGGAGGTTGCGGCCACACTCGTAAGCCTCAGGATCTCATCTGAGTCTCGGCTGCTGCCTTTGGGACCCACTGGCAGGCTCCAACTTCATGCCTCTCCCCACGCCTCCCCGATCTTTTCCAGTTCTTATTTGGAAGGCACTTAAGGGGTGCTGCAAGGCGTCAGCGCCGGCGCAAGAGCGGAGCCCACTTACGTTGCTTAGCAACGGGCTCAACTCTTCGGCTGCCGCCACCTCTTCAGATGGCTGGGAAGAGACGAGCCAGCCCTGCTCAGCGTTGATGCTCCCCCAAAACGCCTCCATGTCACTCCTTGGTGGACTACCGGGTCCATCCGCGTGCCTCAATTCGTGCTCTACGCTCCAGGCGTTAATCGCTCCAGAGGCGGGGTTACGGGCCCGACCCTTCCGGGTTCCGGAACCTCACTGGGGCAAGGAAGAAAGGAGCCACTCGTCGTGATTTGATGACGGTGCCCCTCCGCGGCGATCAGTGATGACGTCATCGAAGGCCAGGCAAACCATATGCGACCCATTTTCGAGCCGCACCAGAGCATGAGGTGAGAGGGGTCTGGTCTTCAAGCCAGCTGCCAGAGCGACCCTGGAATTGGGAAGGTGCAATTGGTGAGGTGGCAGCCGCGGGACCCTTGATAGTGCAGCCCTGGGGCGGCACGTCGCCTTGGCCGCTGGAGCGCGGAAGTGCTGCGAGGCCACCCTGCCATCCGGTTTAGCTTAGGTTCGAGTACTGGGTAATAAGCAATCTGCTTAAAATGCTGTTTTATACCAACTTTTAGCCACATTTACAAATGGGACAACGGGACTCAAATTTACCAAGCATCACCCACCTGGTTAAAAGTGCTAGACGCAATTTAAATCCTGAGTGTGAGGTTGAGGTTTGACTTTGTCGCTTTACAGGATTCTGGTGCCGGGCCCTTTCTCCTTACAATTACTTGTTTGCTGTTTTAGAAAACAAAGTGAATGACAGTGTTTAAAACATTCAGGAAAGCCCCTTGTCCTCAAAATACGTTAGACTCTGCTTTGAAGTTAGGACATGTGGCAGTAAAGCATGGAAGACAAACAACCTAACAATATACTGTATTAGGAACACAAGCACTAAGGTCAGTCTTACCTGGTTTTAGTCCTTGCTCGGCTACTTACCAGCAAAAGACTTTGAGTGAGTTAACTTACTTCTGAGCCTTCGCTTACGCAGGTCTTTTACAAAATGAGGATGCAACCCTACACACCTCCCGATATTTAATAATATAGCATCTGATACAATAAGCACCCACAAGTGTATCCAGTAGCACTATATTGCTATTGGTAATATCGTATATAATAACCATTTCATCTAAACATGACACTTTGAGTCAAATATCAGGCTTCCAATCCCAAATGCATTCTGTAGATTCAAAGGCTTATTGAGTATAGGGAGGCAGATGGATCACTAATGATGTAGCACAATGTGGGATGAAAGTCCACATTTTTTACTATTTATAAAAGTCATATTCTGGAAAAGATAGTATACTTCTCCCATAGGTTGTTTTATTTATGAGAATTTAGGTTATTTGAAATTTTTAATAGTTTTATCTCAAAAGTCATTGTGAATGTGTTCATTTGTAGCTTTGTGGTATTTTTAAAATGGATTCTTTCTTTCTTTCTTTCTTAAAGAGTTGTATGGAGGCCATTTATATTCTCAAGAAGACTTCTGAAAGTGGAAAACTGTAATGCAACTGTATCAGAATTGCTGATCCCACTAGCATGGATAACAGTGACACAAAAGCTTAGGAAAGTGCCTGATATTTTCTTTTGGGGTCAAAGAAAAAGATTCTCAACCATGCCAGAAATAGAAGCAAATAAAAGAGACTCTGAGTTATTTTCACCACCTTCTGATGTTCGAGGAATGATGAAACTTGATAGAACAGCTTTTAAAAAGACAGTCACCATTCCAGTGCTTAAAGTGAGGAAAGAAATAGTCAGCAGAGTGATGCGATCCCTTAAAAGGGTAGCACTGCAGCGCCCAGGCATAAAGCGGGTGATTGAAGATCCAGAAGATGAAGAAAATAGACTAATTATGTTGGATCCCTATAAAATGTTTACTTGTGATTCCTTTGAGAAAGCAGAACTCAGTACTTTAAAGCAACTTAATGTCAGCCCACAGATTTCTAAATATAGTTTGGAACTAACTTATGACAACTTTAAGTCAGAAGAAATCTTGAGAGCTGTGCTTCCTAAAGGTCAAGATGTGATTTCAGGGTTTAGCCGAGTTGGACATATTGCACACCTGAATCTTCGAGATCATCAGCTCCCTTTCAAGCATTTAATTGGTAGGTGAGTTGTAGTGATATTCATGTACTAGAAAACAAATGGCAAATTCTATTTTCATTTCTTAATTTTTTTGAAATGCCAAATTATAGAAGCAGAACAGTTTATCATTGTAATTTTAAGCCAGATCTCCAGCCACATATCTTCTTCTGAGGGCCATTTTGGAATACCCTTTCCCGAGTCAGCAGTCTCTACATGCTGGTCCAGGTTTTTATGTACACCAATACAGAAAAATTTGTTCTATCTTGAAAAGAATTCTTCCTTTTGGTGCACAAGACTATTAGGCCCTTGGTACAATATTCAGTACTAAGTTTCATGAATTTGAGTATTGTATCGCCAAAAGTACAACATTGCTTACTTTATGTGTTCGTTGATTAAACTAATTAAACCTCTTCTATATGTTACTCACCATACTTTTTTTTTTTAGTGTTCCTAGCTTTTTAGAAATAATGTTTATGTGTGTCCTGTATCTGTAGCTCCAGGTTTAAACTTGAGACCTTGATTCTTTAGGATAAAAAACAGAAGACTAATCAAAATTATCCTTATAGAATTATTTGATGTCCATGCATTTTTCAGATTACTTAAGAATAAGAGTAATTTTCAGAACTTCTGGGAATTACTTTCAGCTTTAAAAGGTGTGGTATACAGTACTTTGCATGGGTAGAATTTTAGAACTGTGCTGTTAGGCATTTCCTTTGTTTTTAATTGATGAAAGGGATTGATAATGCCTAATGGTAACATAATAAATACTTAAGCAGATCCTTATAATTGTAACTGATATCAAGTGTAGGATTTCCTATAGTCATTGTCTACCCTAACTCAAACATTACTATCTCATTTCTACTTTTAACGTCTCATAAAGAGGCACTCAAAATTTTAAAAGAAATATTTCCATACAGTAGTAATTTTAAACCTTTTATCATAGAACTTCAGAATTACTTTTTATTTTTAAAATTTCATTCCTCATTTAAAATAAACCTGAATACTCGAAAATTGAGTTCAGTTACCTGAAGCAGAATAAAAGTAACAATTGATTAGAGTTAGATATTATTCAGAATCAGGTATCTAATTATTGGGAAGATTAAGACAAATTCTGATTGTATTTCAGCATATTTCTGTTACTGAGTACTTTTTACTAACAAATTATCTTTCCTTATGCAATGAGGTACATATAGATTATGATAAACTTTTGAAGTGCTGACAAAAAAACAGACTTCAGTTAAAAAGCATCAATATGCCATTTCTGATGTACTTTATAGCTTTTCTGCTGTGATATTACAATTGAAGTAAATTATGTTTTATTTAGATAACTCTAAAGAGTCTTATTGTTGTTGGAAACATTGTTTTGCTGACATAGATTTCCAAAGTGGAGGCACTGGTTTCAAACCCACAGTAAAACAAACATTTGGTTTGAGGCCAGTGGGGACAGGCAGATGTTTTTGCTGGTGTTTTCTGAGACCATTTGTTGCCAGTGTATTTGCATCTCTTCTTTCCATTCTTTACAATTCCTTATGGTCTACCTTTTTTGCTCACTTGATGTACATTTGAGAAGATTTAATAAAAACATGGAAAAATAAGCCAGGTGTGGGTGGCCTATGCCTTTAATCCCAGCTACTTGGGTGGTTGAGGTATAAAAGATGGAAAGTATGAGACCATCCTGGACAATCTGGCAAGACTTTGTCTCAAAAAATAAAAAAAAAAAAGGCTGGACACATAGCCGAGTGAGCACTGCTGGGTTCAATCCTCAGAAATGGAAAAAAAAAAAAAAAAAAGTACCCATATATTTTTTGTATTAGAGACTGTCAGATATTAATTTTAGTAATCTGTTGAATTTTTAGAATTGTATGCAACATTACACACATTATAGTTTTAAATCTTTAAACCGAAGGAAAAGACAATTCATTTAATATTTTCACTAGCTTTTTTTCTGCAACCAGCAGGTTATTTTTATTATGAATTTTTCATCTTTTAGGCCAAGTTATGATTGACAAAAATCCAGGAATCACCTCAGCAGTAAATAAAATCAATAATATTGACAATACATATCGAAATTTCCAAATGGAAGTGCTATCTGGAGAAGAGAACATGCTGACCAAGGTACAAAATCTTTTGTTTTTTTCCTAGTATGGTGTATATCAAGAATAATGTTTAGAATTGTAATAGATGAAAAAGATTTAAAGTATTTATAACATCAAATATTAATAAGTTGAAGATTGTGTATATTTATGTACTATTGATGGAATGATATTCACAGATAAAGCCTTTTCAAAGGAATTGGTTAAATCCAGTGGACTACTCCATCATTAAATATTTTTTATCTCTGTAATTGTTAAAATAAATTGCCCATTGACAGGTTAACTGACAAAAAAAGCAAGTTGTAGGATAAAGACATATTTAAACCTTCCTGGTTACACCCAGAGATACTTTTAGTTGGCAGAGACTTGCAAAAACATTTCCAACTCTGGAACGTTTGATGAGGTTGGAAGGGCAACAAAAATACGTTCAAATTTGAAATTAAGGTCCAGGAAAGGCGGAGATAGAAGATATATTTTTACTGGATTTATATGTTAGGAACTTTCTAGTCTTTGATTTTTTTTCCTCAATAAAATAAGGATATTAACAATGGCTGAGTCATATTCCATGATTATAATTTTATTTTCTGTTTTCAAACGTGTCTGTGATAGACCCAAAAGAAACTACTTTTGTTCAAGACTCGGCACCACTGTATGTATTTAGTTTATCCATGAAAACTCAAATTTGGGAAAAGAAATAACAATATGGGAATGATTACTCTATAAACTGGCTCTCGTTTATAGACATGAAATTTGCAAAGTTCAAATAACTGTCTAAAAATAGTAAAGTACCTCAAAACTTAATGACACAGCTACCATTGCCTCCCTTTTACTAACTGAAAACTATAAAAAAAGGAAAGCTTGTTTGCTATGCAGAATTGCTATCTACAGTTTAGTTTAGCTACTTATAAAGATGTGTGTGTTGTGTTGTTTTAAATGATGTTTTTTTCTCTCCATCTATGACATAAGAGTCTAGTTAAACCAGTCAGCCAGTTGGCCTTTCTGAAAATTTCCTCATGTGATCTGGAAATGACTCCATGGTCTTTTGGGATTGAGGTAGATGACTATTTGATAACTTTCCTCATGAAAAAGTCCAATTCAAGATATTAACTGGCCCCAAGAATAGCATAAACACCAGAATTCTAATTAAAGTGCCTTTAAATGCACTGTTACTTTTCTAATAGTAGTAAATTTAAATGTGTGTGTGTGCTCATGTGACTAGGCATACCTTTCCAAAATCAGTGGCTGGAATTTAGGACCAAGCAGATTGACTAAAAACATTATATGACTTTTTCAGGTTCGGGAAAACAACTACACCTATGAATTTGATTTTTCAAAAGTCTATTGGAATCCTCGTCTCTCCACAGAACACAGCCGTATCACAGAACTTCTAAAGCCTGGGGATGTCCTATTTGATGTTTTTGCTGGAGTTGGGCCCTTTGCTGTTCCAGCAGCAAAGAAAAACTGCACTGTATTTGCCAATGATCTTAATCCTGAATCCCATAAATGGCTGTTACACAATTGTAAATTAAATAAAGTAGACAAAAAGGTGAAAGTCTTCAACTTGGATGGTAAAGACTTTCTCCAAGGACCAGTCAGAGAAGAGTTAATGCAGCAGCTGGCACTGCCAAAAGAAAGAAAACACTCTGTCCACATTGTCATGAATTTGCCAGCAAAGGCTATAGAGTTTCTCTGTGCTTTCAAATCACTTTTAGATGGGCAGCCATGCAGCAGTGACCTCCTTCCCATAGTACACTGTTACAGCTTTTCTAAAGATGTTAATCCTGCTAAAGATGTTCAGCAACAAGCTGGAGCAGTGTTAGGCATTTCCTTGGAAGCATGCAGTTCAGTTCATCTAGTAAGAAATGTGGCCCCTAACAAGGAAATGCTCTGCATCACCTTTCAGATTCCTGCTTCTATACTCTACAAGAACCAGACCATAAATCTAGGTGAGAAATTTCTGGAGAATTTAATGAAACTATAATACCTTGTAGCTTTCTTTGGGATACACTATTAAATTTGGAAATTGCTTCTAGTTCATTATTTTGGTTCACACCCCTTGCCATTCAATTTTGACTTGTTTCTCCAAATGTTCAGTTAAACAGAATTCTATTTCATTCAAGTAATAAATCCACAGGAATGTTATTTCATATCTAAATTGGCCATATTACAATTCTTAAAAAAAATGCCTGTATTTTTTAGTAGTACTTTCAACTGTTAAGTATCTTATCTAAAATATGTTTTCTGCTTTTATTACAGAGTATGGCGAAGATCCACCTCTTAAACGGCAAAAGACAGATAATGTCTTTTCAGAAGGAAACACACAAATTGCTTCAAACACTTAATTGTAAATGTTTTTCCCATCTGCCCACTAGACTTATATGTAATGAAATACAACTTATGTGATTTCATAAAATTGTAGCATTCCTTTACTATTTAACCCTTATACTTTGCCCTGCTATTTTATAAACTGTCACTAAATTAAAATTTAACTAAATGTACTAACTATATTTTTATCTAAATTATACTATGTAATTATTTTATAATCTAAATTACATCTGTTTATCCGTTAAATACACTTAAATATTGTCTGTCTTAGGAAGTCGTTTTTGAAGATAGAGTAATTGCTATCTACCTAGGAAGGTATTAATAACACATTTTAGTCATATTTAGTGAAAGAGTATAGTTATTTTACGCAAGTACTTCTCTAGTACTGGTTATCACTATAAAAAGTCATTAAAATATGATATTACTTAGAGCACTATAAAGAGTCATTAAAATATGATATTACTTAGAGCAGGGACACACAAACCACATTCTATAGGCTGAATCTGGCCCACCACCTGTTTGTAGTATTGGTTCACCACCTTTCTGGCCTTCAACCTGAGATTCAAATGGTTGCATTTTGTGACATGTGAAAAACATGAAATTTGAGTTTCAGTGTACATAAAGGTTTTTTTTTTTTTTTTTTTTTTTTTAAATATTTACTTTTTTTAGTTGTAGTTTAACATAATACCTTTATTTATTTCTTTATTTTTATGTGGTGCTGAGGATCGAACCCAGGGCCTTGCATGTGCTAGGCGAGCACTCTACCACTGAGCCACAACCCTAGCCCGTACATAAAGTTTTACTGGAACATCCCCTACTCATGTTTTCATACTGTCTATAGCTACTTTCTTAATACAGCAGCAAAGTGAACAGTTGCACCACAGTCTTACCGTGACACATCTTCATATTGTTGCTTACCATACTACAAATCACAGTGACATGGATGTAGTAACTCAACATTTATGCCATATATACAGCCCAGCCACAAACTTTTTTATTATCAGTACATACTTATATCAGGACAAGAAAAGTGGACTTGGAATGTTGTGCTTTGAAAGCACGGTGGAGTGTGAATTATTTCAACACTGAATTAGATGACAAAAATCTATAGCTAACTGAAAACAATACAATATGCATTACTACCACCAGACAAAGCATTTGTCACAGTTTGATCTTTCCCAGAATGTTCTGTAGTTGAAACACATAGCATGTATCCCTTTCAGGAGTGAATTAGAACCCTTCTTTCTTGCCTAAATGCACTGAAATTCAAAACTGTTTTGAAACTCAACCCAAGAACTGTATGCTGATGTTAGGCTGGAAAGTACATGTATAAATGATGTTCATATCAACCCTTAATTAGACAGAATATATTGTAATTATAAAGAAAACAATATTTAAATGCTTCAATTAGTATTTTAACTCTTACCCTTTTCACTTAGAGTGGGTAAATAAATGTGTTATTATTTCATTATTTAAATCTAGGCTCACCTTAAACTTTCAGATGTGATCTCAAGTAAACTCTTGATGAAACCACTAGAAAATAACAGCTAGAAAACTCATTGGGTACAATTTTTAAAATTTTGATAACTTTTTAACAGATTCTTGCCACCTTAATTGGATTTTTAAAATTATTTTCTTACCACCTGTGGACCACCAAAAGATAGCTTCTAAGAAAAGCTTTTAGAAGAAATATTTATGTATTCCATTCTTTTAATACCTGCTTTAAAAAGAAGGTAGTTGTTTGCAAAACAATTTCAATATAATGACTTTCTCAGAACTTCTCAGGATATCAACAAGATCATTTAGTTCATGTCATTTATGTCCCATAGAAGGTCAAGATACTTGTTCTTCAAACCTTCCTAGAAGTCTTACGAAGTCTGACTACCCAGATCTGGTTTTAGCAGAGCTGTTATTTATATACTTGGCAGTTTAACAATTATCTCTAGAGTATGGACTCTGGAGCCTGACCACTTGGGTTCAAATCCCAGCTCTGCTATTTTTATGTTGTATTGACTCCTGGCAAGTTACTTAACTTGCATTTCCTCATCTGTTAAAATAGGCAAAATATTAGCACTGTTGTAAGGATTAGGTAATACATAAAGCAGGGAGAAAAGTGCCTGGCAAATATGTAATACAGTACTTTGTTGATCATTTCTGCTGTAGTATTACAAAATGTTAAAAGGCTGGGGATTAAAGAGTTGAAAGATTTGTAAAGTTTTTGTGTTTGAGAGGAAATCATTGGAAGGGAAGGAGATAAGCCCATCTGTTTAGAATATTTCTGTTGTCATTAGGTTATCTTTTCACAATTCCATTTCATTTAATAGGTCAGTTAACTTCTAAGGCAGGCTCAAAGTCAGTCTTTAAAGCCTTTGAAATGTTTTTATTAGCCTTTGCAATGTTTTATTTGAATGATCTCTTTTTTTGTGCCAGTAGGGATTTAACACAGGGGTGTTCTATCACTGAGTTATACTCCCAGCCCTTTTTAATTTTTATTTTGAGACAGGGTCTCGCCAAATTGCCAAGGCTACCCTAGAACTTGTGATCCTTTTGCCTCAGACTCCAGAGTTGCTGGAATTAGGTGCAGACCACTATGCCTGGCTCATTCTCTTTAAATAGATTTTTTTTTTTTTTTTTTTGCAGTTGAGTGCAGCAAAGCCTAAACTGTGAGTTCGATGTTCTCACTATTCTTTGAACAGATTTATAGGTTGTAGTATAAAAAATAAATCTTCCATTAGTCATACCTAATAGATAAAAGGAATAGGACAGGCACCCTGGTAGGGTATAGCTAGAATTGGACTTAGATTAAAAACAAACCAACCTGTTCTAATTCTGGCTTTCTATTAATTTGTGCATATGATCTTGGCCTAGTCAATTTAATTAATACCTTGGTTTTCTCATTTTATCAAAGACAGAAGTGTAATTAAGATAAAAATGTACTCCTGAAATTAATCCCTATATAAGGCAGTGTTGTGACACACAAATATTCCACCATAATATAACAAGTCTTGTTTTCCATAACTTTTGACCCATATAATTGACTTCTATTGTGATAGTGATATGGCAGGAGATCATTTAATTTCTTTGATGCTATGTTCATATGCAGTGGCCTATGTAACAGATTTATACAAGGTATCTGAGATACTGCAAATGTCCATCCTATTCACAATCAAACTCTAAGCAAAACCTGGGTATAATAAAAGCCTTTGAAGTTATCAATGGGAAACTACATCAGAGCCTAAATTTACACATAGGTAAATTTCATTTTAAATGTATGTTTTCTAGTCTCTAACATTTCGACATAAAATGAGCTCACATTGGAGGTGAAAGGTGCCATTTAAGTATTAAGTTTTAGTAACTTACTTCTTTGAATCTGTCATTAAAGCAGGTTAATGTTAATGCTGTGATCTGGTTTATCCTGCATATGCCTCACAGCTGGGAACCATAACACCTTGATCAAGGTTTCCCTCACTTTTCACTGCTGAAAACAGGCCCTGAATTCTTAATATTAAGGGAGTAACATTATCACAGGTCAGGTTTTACTTGCCACAACCTGCTGGTAGAATGGAATATATCCACTTGTCTGGACTGGTATTAAGAAGACATTAGAAAAAAAGAAATTTTATGAGAAGAAATAATAGACTTGGATATTAACACTGAATGTTGTAATCAAAATGGCATTTTAAAATGTGTTCAAGTAAAACACTGCAATAAAAGAAAAACCACAAAATGTACTATAAAGTCTAGCTTTATTTTTAAAAAGATTTTACAAGTCTGTCAACCTTAAACATACATAGGTGAATTACTTATTCCTCTCATCAGATGAGAAGCAATGCCTCAATCCTGTCAGAAAAAAAAATACATAAGTAAAAAATAAATCTTTTCACAGATAAGTATTTCCTATATTTCTCAGCTTAGTTCTGAAATTTTCTCTTTATAAATACTTTAACACAGCTGCTAGTGATAGTCCTGTTATGCAGCTGCATATGGCTATAATTTTACAAAGTCAGCTTTTTCTAGCCCCCTGGTTCGACTCCATGGTCCAAATCTTACAAATGGAGAAATAAAGGTTAACTGGGGTGCCAGAAAAGCCCACTGAATGCATCCTGTAGCGCTCTGTGACAAGCAAGAGAAGAAGTATAGCCTCCAGCAAGGTCCTGTGGAGAAGCAGCTCTGACGTGGCTTAAATACCTGGGGGGGGGGGGGGGGAAACAAAGTATAACACTGATATAAAAAGCACACACAAATTGGTAACATTTTACAAAGCAAGAGCAAAACTGATTTCAATTTTAAAGAGGAATTCTGAGACCGAAATGTTCAAGCTTTTTATAAGTGGATCATTACCTTTCAAAAGGAAACACAGTATACATGGAGTGTCTACACTACTACTTAATTACAGAGCAAAGCAAATTACAGTAATATTTAAAAGCAATTCTGAAGGTTTCAGATAATACTTGCTATTAATATGTTCACTGCTTCACAATTTTCAGGACTTATTTGTTGGCTTTTGTTTGGACACCTAACAAATGCTCTATTTCTGGCATACTCAATATAATACACAGTAACAAAACTCTACCATAGTACTAATATTTTTGCATAAACGCTTTAACGCAAACTCCTAAATATGTTTAAAAAAATGGGGTAGAGGAGAGAGAACACACTGGTTCCTTCAAAATCACGTATTTCAAAAGTATATTTTCTTCTTTGTAGGAAGAGAAACCTTAGAAAAATCACATGTTCAAGATTTTTTTTTTTTTTTTTTTTTTAACTCTTACACTGAGTCTGAGATCAAAATAATGTCTCAAATAATAAGTACAGAAGAGTCTTTTGGCCTCAAAAAAATAGACATAATTTTTCTTCAACTACAAGCAGTCTTTTCAGCAATTAAAACTTTTTTACCTTGATGAAAATAGATAAAACAGGCCTAAAAAAAAAAAAAAAAGGACAATCCTAATTGGAGGTACAACTATTTAACATGACTATGAACACTACTGGAAAACAAATATTTATAGCATTGCTTTAATGTCTGGTTAGGAAACCACATTGTTTCTTCAGGTCTCAGGAAGTAAAGCAGCTTCACCCATTTTAGAATTATGGGTGTAGCAAATGAATAAATCAGGTACCAGAACATTTTAATACTTTGGAACATTTTCTACTCATTCATTCAAACTTCCTGTGTGTCAAGATCTTAATGCATGAGCAACTTATATTTCTAACATAATAAGTTGGTATTTTATTGTATCCATATTTAATAAGCTTGTGTGAGTGAAAAGTATATGGCAACATAAGAGACAAAATAGAAAAAGTGGACAAAATAAGATGCAGGTTAAGCTTCTGAAATTGGCTAGAATTTATTCATAATGCCACAAATTAATGTGTTAATTCTTTGCTACTCTGCCAAGGGTGAAACAAGAAAGGGGAAGGGAGAAAGGAATATTTATTGAGCAATGATTTAAAACTATTTTGGTACTATATTTATAGCAGGACAAAATATCTGCACATTCATCTCCAAAATTTGTATACTTATTTTAAAAAAATCACTATATGCTTTTATATGTAACCTTTATACACATATTATTGTAGTAAATTATTTTAATTATTTTGAAAAAATGTGCTCTTCATATTAAAATATTATAAAATATGTATAAATAGATAATTCAAAGGATGAGACAAAAAATTTAGATAAAAGTTTTGATATTTCCCCACATCCCATCTTACATACTCTCCTAGGATGCATCACACTTTGAATACTACCATTATTAAGCAGATACTGTCAAATATTAGAGCTTTAGATCATGTTAGACTTAAATGGGGATTCGCCAAATCTACCATATGGTTATAAAGTTATCTGCTTATTACCTTCCAGAATATAATAAAATGTCAACTGTTAAGATTTCTTATGCATAAGACATGAGATATTAAGTCATCCCAAAAAACTTAAAAAAAAATCAACCTGGCTTCAAAAGGAACTTAATAACCACCATACAAATAAGAAGTGAGTAATATTTTTACAGGCAAATTGGAAATGAAATGTTCCACTCCTGACACAAGTTTCTAGTTAATTTTTAACTACACACCAGATGATGTTGCTTTCTTTCCTCAGATCCTCAAAAGGAAAGCATAGTCTTAGCTCCAATGACTGTTCACTCATTGCAGAAGCCACCCACCAGAAAATGTTTGTCAACTCTAAGAAGACAACTATTACAAAATGAGGATTGGTTTTCATAGCTGTGATTCAAACCACTGTACAGCTAACTGTTTTGATTAATCACATTTTGTACAGCTTGCTTCTGGGAAAGTTGAGTCATACCATCTCTGGCTTGGCAATTCCATCATAAACTTGTAGTGTGCATACAACTTTTTATGTTATCCTGAGAAACCTGAAACAGCTGCACCGCTGGCAGGAAAACACAGGACCACCAGTAAAATATCCAAAACAGTTGCATCTTTTAATTTATGACTGTGCACTGTTTCCATAAAGAGTATATAAAACAGTTCAGCTTTTATAGGTAAAATGTAATAAACAGTCATACTCATAGAGGCCATAAATGTATTTTAATAGTTTATCTAAAATGATTAGTGTTTAAAAATAGTATTTCTTGAATAGTCATAATATAGAGCAATGAGCAAATATTTTAAAATTTGAGTTATTAAAGCTAAGTTGTATGATTCTAACTGCCAAAATCAAGTCAATTAAAATTTCTTTGCATAGCTCTGAAGAAAATACACTCCCCCTCTAGCAATCACTCACATTAAACTTGTCTGTGAGTATGAGTCTTTAAGAGTCCTGCCTATTTATACTGTTGTTTCAGATTTCTAGGGCTGCACAAAACTGTTACTGCTAAGTACTTCTAAATATTTTCACCATGGTAACCTATATTAAATTCCAATTAAAAAATAAAAACAATTCATTCTTATTCAGTTGTGGGCTTTTATTTTCTAGGTACCTTATTTTATGTTCTTAAGCCCTTTAATTATTGTGGTATGCCCAAGTATTTTTAAAGATTTGTTACACTGAAACCACACAATGAGAATATAGTATTTTTCTGACTTTTTTTTTTTTAACCCTAATCCTCACCTCTGTTGTTTTAATTCTTCCATGACCATTAAAAATAAATCACTGAATAGGATTCCTGGGGTTTCTGGCAGAGGTGAGTATCATTTCATGTAAACCATTATATAAGAGAATGAGGAAGAAGTCTTAGTCAAATTTATTTCCAAAATTTAAGCTCAGTTGGGTTTTGGAGGCTGGTGGTAATTGGTCTACGTAGCCAATCCCAGAACACTATTTCTGTTTTTTCATGGGTTTATTTTAAATATGTGTAAAGCTTATAAGCAAAAAACAGGAAAGAAAAAGTGGTTTGCTTAATTTTGATACCTGTACCTTATTTTACTGAAAGCAGACTAAACTCAGGTTTTTAAAAATTCATATCTCTATTTCTTAATAAGTTTTTCTTTTTTTAAAAAAGGGATGTTTTCAAAAGCATGCATGTCTAATGTAATTCTTGGACAAAGGGCATCTTATGTTATAATTATGCTCTAAAAGTTAATCCTTCCTTTGCTATTATTATCCATCGAAATTTGTTCAAATAGATTTTGGAGAAGCAGGGAAGAAAAAGGAGCAATGGGTCCTGAAAGTTAAGTAAGAAAGAACTAAGCATTAGAATAATACACTTGAAGGTTTATTCCTAAACTTTGATTGTCTACACTGCCTTTATTGTTGTTGTTGTAATATATAGCAGCTTTTACTCCCAAAGAAGGTGGTATAATTTACACTTGGCTTCAGACAGACTTCATTTTCTCAGTCCCTTAACATAAGAAAGTGTCTCTGAGATTACTCTTTTATCCTTTCTTTTAAAGCCCTATACTGACCATCTGGCCCAAGTCTTGTCTCAGCTCATTTTAGTGCTATTCAACAATGCTTTGAGTTCTTAGCTAGGGCAGAGGGCAGGGGTTGTCATTCAATAATACCAAGAGGCAGCATTCTTCCCCTCCAGCCATAATCTGTTCATGATAACCCTTGAAACATACTAGCTCTAGAGAATCTAGAATTCTCTACGCAAGTTGAAATCAAAACTTGAAGTTCACATTAGTTCTCTCAACTTCAAATTATCAGGCCATATAAAGACTTCGAAACTTAGATTGGTTCAAACTAAGAAATGCAGTGAACTCTAGAGACTAAGACTCTTTACAAGATGACTCATGTTCTCCTACCTTCCCTCCTTTCTATCATGTGTTAAACACCAATTCCAAACATATCTGTGTCCCAACCCACAAAATTCAAAGATAGCTGTCCATTAAGAGAGATCACCTAGCTGCTGTCAGCTGTCAAGACCAAGAACTCTTGTAAGAAGTTCAGCCAAATTTATAAAATATTTACATTAACAACTTGAAGTATACTTCAGTGAAATTTAAAAACTACAGTGCCTATAAACCTAGTGACTTGGGAGGCTGAGGCCCTAAGCAACGTAGCAAGTCCCTGTTCAAAATAAAATATAAAAAGGGCTGGTGATGTGGCTCAGTGGTTAAATGTCCCTGCATTCAAGGCAGGGGAGATTGGGGAGGGGCCAACAAAACAATAGGGTACTCATTAATATAATTATCACTAAAAATCAGAAACATTTCTAAAAACTAAAGTTAGTGCTTACATGTCCTAACTGAAACACAATATCAGAATAATAGATAAAACTGTCTACAGAGGGAGATGGATAATCATATATTCTAAGATAAATGGGGAAAGGCATTATAATTCAGACATATTTCCCATAATTCTGAGGGTGGTCTGGTTAAAGCACATGGTTTCATGAACTCCACTTTTAAAATGTAACAAATTTTCACAGATAGACATCATGTTATTCTTTGTTTTTTTAATCAGGTGATTTCAAATTTATACTAAAGGATGTTAGTACAAACAATCATGCCAGAGATTTAGACCATGCAAACACCAAAGCTCAGATTTAGAAATTTAAAAAGTCATATGGTATTCTGAAGAAATGTATAACTGAAGAAAACTGCAATTTATTGCTATCAAATTTATGCACACTAGGTGTTTTAGGAGCTACCACTGAAGTTAAGGTTAATTACATAATGCAGGATTCTTCCTTGATTTAAGTGTGAACTACAGTACATATAGAGGATATAGGTACTTGAATGTAACGTACACTATGAACCCTATTGTTGGTAGAGTTGAA